TAATAATGTTTTAATTATTTATAATAATGATATTATAATTATTTATAATAATAATAATATTATTATATAAACATTTTATATAATCGTTTTGGCACAAAATATATATCTATGGCTTGAAAATTATTATTCCAGATGAAATTCGGATGGGAACATACAAACAATTGTATCACCCAGAACAATTAATTACTGGCAAAGAAGATGCTGCCAATAATTATGCTCGCGGTCATTATTCCATCGGGAGTGAGATTATCGAGTCCGTGATCGACCGAATACGCAGACTGACCGATCAATGCACCGGTCTGCAAGGTTTCTTTGTTTTTCATTCATTTGGAGGTGGCACGGGGTCGGGTTTCACTTCTCTGCTTATGGAAAAGCTGTCCGATGATTACGGCAAGAAAAGTAAATTGGAATTTGTCATATATCCGGCACCACAAGTGAGTTCAGAAAAATTAGATCAATTTACACATTTTTGCAGGAGAATCTAATAATTAGTTCTCGCTTTATTTTATGAGAAATGATGAGATTAAAATAAATTGAAGAATAGAATCTTTTTTTAAATTAAATTTCTAAATAAATATTTTACAGTAATAAAGTATAGCGATCAAGATTAATAAAAATAAAAATAAGCGATATCATACTTAGCGAATTAATTAATTCTTTCTGTCTCATCTTATGAAAGATAATGAGATTAAAACAAACTGAAAAATAATTTTTTTTTTCTTAAATTTTTAGGTAAGTATTTACAATGATCAAGATTAAGGCCTGGTTTTACCAATGTAAGATTAACTTTAATCTCAATTTAACTTATTGTTATCTTTTTCTCTTTAGTTCTAAGAATTAGAAAAAGATAAAGAATGAATTGAACCGAGATTAAAATTAATTAGGAACCAAGACTAATAAAGATAAAAATATAATAAAATAAATTTTAAAATTAATCTCTCTATCTATAAATCACGAGATCTGGAAACACATGATCTTATAAAATATAATAATAATTCCGAATAATAATAATTTCTGTTAAAAAAATACACTCGATTATTTTCAGGTATCTACCGCTGTGGTGGAGCCTTACAATGCGATATTAACAACACACACGACAATCAGTCACTCTGATTGCGCGTTTATGGTGGATAATGAAGCGATTTATGATATTTGTCGACGCAAGCTCAGCATCGAGCGACCTTTGTATGCAAATCTGAACCGGCTGATCAGCCAAGTGGTCTCGTCGATCACAGCATCCTTGAGATTCGACGGCGCTCTAAACGTCGACTTGACCGAATTCCAAACGAATCTGGTGCCCTATCCCCGTATACATTTTCCCTTGGCGACCTATGCGCCGGTAGTATCCGCCGAAAAGGCTTATCACGAAGGCATATCAGTCGCAGAAATTACCTCCGAATGCTTCGAGGCCACAAATCAGATGGTCAAGTGCGATCCACGCGAGGGCAAGTATATGGCTTGCTGCCTCCTGTATCGTGGGGATGTCGTGCCGAAAGATGTCAATGCCGCGATCGCTGCTATGAAGGGAAAGAGTTACATCCGTTTTGTCGATTGGTGTCCCACAGGTTTCAAAGTTGGAATCAATTATCAACCGCCCACCGCTGTACCAGGCGGTGATCTTGCGAAGGTATTGTCGCATGTAAATCATTTCTTAGAAGTCTTATTTTAATGTTGATTCTTTTATTATTAAAATGAAAATTTGTTAATTTAAACATCTTTTAGATAATTTATTTCAAATTAATGAAATTCAAAATAGAATTCTCTTGAATAATTTTATGTTTTCGAAAGATACCATGGAAAACATTATATTTTAATTATATATAAAATTATAAGTAGAATTTTATCTTAAAATCTAATGAAAATTATATTGTAAAAAATTTATTTCAAAATTTATATTAATGCTTAAATTCAAATTATATATAATTGGAATTTTAATTTATAATTTTTTTACATATAATAATTGTAATAATTATTAATTTATTACATAACAGAATTTCTAATCCACAATTTTATATAGCCACGTATATACCGAACACGAATGTTCAGACATTCGTGTTTGTGTTTGTGAGTAGTTTATTCTTTTTCTTGATTGCACCGAATACTAGCATTCGATCAGATTCGATCTTTGTTGCACATAGCAATTAAACTTGTGCAACTTTTATGTAACGAATAACAATACAAAGTTTTGCGTTCGCTGTTCGTTCGCTAAGTGTATACGTGGCTTTATATAATAATTGTATATAATAATTAGCAATTTATTATGTAACGCTGATATTATAATCGTAATATAATCATATTATACATATATATTATATTTATCATAAACAGTTATGTTATAATTATTAATTTCTTACTTAAAATTGATATTATGTAACAATTATATCATACTTAGATATTAATATTTACATCAAATGGATAACTTGCAGGTTCAACGAGCTGTCTCTATGCTATCTAATACGACAGCTATAGAAGAAGCATGGGCTAAGCTTAATCGCAAATTCGACCTAATGTACAACAAGCGGGCATTTGTTCACTGGTATGTAGGAGAAGGTATGGAAGAACTCGAATTCGCGGAAGCACGTGAGGATCTCGCGGCACTTGAGAGGGATTACGAGGAAGTCGCCCTCGAATCGCCGTCTACACCGGATACACCATTTGAATATTAACGCATTTTTTAAAAATTTTTTGAAATAGGCCGGTATATTCTCTTTTTCGCTACCCGACAACAAGACGAAAATTATAAAAGAAATGTCACAGCGCTTATGTAAAATTTTGTGTAGAAACATATTTTATGTTTATATTCTATTATAATTGTTACAATATATTATAGAAGAGCATTTTTTGTAAAAGTCACATTCCTTGTAGAGCAAGTATAAAAATAGATGTTGCATCTACTTCACAATTAATATTTCATTTAGTATCTAGAAATGAAATATATCTTTTTTTATACAAAATAGGAGGAAACCTTCATGTAGACATTCTGGATAATGAATGCGATGCATCAAATTCGATAACTCATGCATCCCTTTAATTTCTTCTTCCTGCTGGAAGGAAATTTCGACATACTTAATTAATATTACTTCGGGGCAAAAAAAATATATCTAGAGAGACAAATAAAAATAATTCTTTACATTAAAAAATTTATTGACTCAAAATAATACATACTTATGTAATATATACAATATTTGTTTGTTTATTAACTTTTTTTTGGTATTAATATTTATAAAAGTATTTCAATAAAATTTCCTTTATAGATACATCGTATTCATTGCACTTGGATAGTAATTGTATATAGAAGGAATTATGCCAAAGTTTAAAAAAATGTAATACATTATGTAACAAATATAGCAATTTGTTATTAATACTAAAAATCGACGATATTAAAACTACATGTAACTTCATACTTTTAGGATCGGAAGTTATTTCATCTTCGGATAAACTGTGGTAATTAACTTATTGGATAAACGAAAGAGTAAAAGAGTAGTTTTTAAAGTAAAACATAGTTGAAGTTCATTGAAAGGTGGAACAACTTAGCCTCAAGTCATCAAAAACGTTCAATAAGATAAACACAAATAATTTTATTTCTATTGATATTTTTGTTATCGCAGAGAAAATAAATCAATAGCATATTCGGTTAGACGCACTAGTACGCACTAGTATGCACATTAAAGATATTGTATACTGATTTAATATGAGGGTAAAAATGAAATGCAAATATTTTGAATTATAAAATATATATTTTATTTAACAACATAACAAAGTGTGTTGAAGATATTATGATTTAACTATTTTCTTTATTTATATTACACACACATCTTTGCGTCAATTTGTATAATCACTTCATCTGCACAATGAGTGCGTCCAATCGAATTCGCTAGAAATGTAACATGGAGACAAACCTTACACACATACATACATACATATATGTATATATATATATATGTGTGTGTGTGTGTGTGTGTGTATATATACATACGCACACATGACAAATATAAAGTGCATCCAATGTCATCTTTCATTAAGTTCCTAAAAAAAAAGTTACATAACTTTGGATGCTTTGATTGAATATCACTATTAATTGAATGCATTTGTTACGTTAGTAGATTACAACACTTCATTCACATTCTTCAAGTGATTCATAAATTTTTTTAGAGTTCTATTAACGTTCTATTAACATTTACATTAAATCATGATAAAGCCAAAATTTCATAATTCTATATGGTTCAGTAATAATTAAAATAAATTTAATATAGTTGATATCAGAGAATGGAAAGTTACTTTTTTAAAATAATAAGTTAAGCCAGCGACACATGATGCTTGTTTTCCTGCTGGATTGCTAGCTAGATTAGAATCTTGCCATCGTATTGGGTGCGGTGCTGTCAGTGTTAGCTAACAATCCAGCAGAAAAACAAGCATTGTGTGCCGCAAGCTTTAGTTACTTGTTACAATTACCGTTATTTGAGAAAGTAACTTTTCGTTACTTTTCCATTAGTTTTTTAGAATCGACGATCACCAATCACAGCGAACGAGTTTATGGACTTTATAGTTTCATGCACTATGAATGACTTGTGTCTGATCGTGTGCAAAGTAATGATAAATGTAACTGTAAAATTCATTATCATTATAAAAAAAAATGTAAGTAGTAATTTCATTATCATTACAATTACCAAAGAAAAAAAGGAATGCAATTATCAGTAAAATTACTAAAAAAGTAATTTGTAACTGTAACTTCCATTCCCTAGTTGATATAACGGAGCTGACGAAAAATTGTATGTAAATCATATGTAGCGTATGAACAATTCTTGGATGAAGGTATAGCTCTATCGGAAAATAAAAGTATTATATATATATATA